TGTGTGTGGCACTTTTCATCTCCTGTCATTTAAATTAAAACTTAAAGTAGTTATTAATTAGTTCAGTTTGTATACGTTATTTTTCCTAACGCCTTACGTAATTTGTTCATGCATTTTCAGTTCTGTCATACCAGAAAGACGTCTTTTAATTATATATAATTTTAGGTTTGATAATATAATAGAATTTTATTTTGTTGATCTCCAACTACTGAAATGGGCACATTTATTTGAGTGGCTTTTAATAACATTTTGCCATCTTTGTATAGCAATAAGATAAGTATGTCTATAACAAATTATGTACGACTGATTAGGAATTTTTGCTTTCTTTTAGATTTAAATTTATATGAATTGATGGTGTAAAAGAACTTAATTAATTTCACTATTATATTGTTTGAATTGTATTACATGTATAGCAGTTAATATTCACTAGGAGTATTTTCGCCCTAGTATCGATTTTTATGCCAGTTAAAAATATAAAAAAATTCTGGTACATTTTATTTCTATTTTTTATTTTTATTTGGCATAATGTTAGGATATGAATTTTATTAGATAAAGATGATTAATAAGAATATATAGCCGACTTTAATTTATTTGAGACTGAAGCGTTACTGTTGTCGTTGCCGTTATAATTTGATTTTATTAGGTAGTTTGAATTTTGAGAATGGTAGATTTTGAAAAGTGAGGACGGCAACTCTCTTCAGCACTTTTTTGGTGTTGCTTCAAATTAAAGAAAAAATATTGAAAATTGTTACTAAAAAGTTTATGATTAGTACATAATATAATATCCAAAAATTGCAAAGTAAAAGAAACTAGTGAACAAATTAGCTGTCAGAATCGGGTTAAGCATACCTGCCATGTGGGGGTACATCTTCCATTATTGCACTAACCAAACTAAACCACTCCCTACTCTATTTCTTATTTTTTGTACTATACAATCACTAGTAATCATTAAGCGCATAGTGGGATAGTTGAGATCTTTCATTTTTAATATGACGTCGCAAATTTAAGTTTTGAGAATCAAAAACTTTTTAATAGAGCATTTTATCCTTTTTCTTTTTTTTTTTTTTTTTGTGAGTCTATTCGATGTGAATTTAAATTAATTGATAAATGGGCTCCCGTAGCGGATATGATATGGAAAACAGGGTTGAAATAATTCGGGTATGTAAAGAGGAGGTGTCCAGATGCCCCAGTAAGAAGGTGTGCGAAGTTGGCCATGATGGATTTGAGGAGAGGTAGGGGTAGTCCAAAGAAGCATCGGAAGAAGTGATAAGATAGAACATGACACATGTGCAGCTTACCGAGGACATGACCTTGATAGGAGAGTACAGAGGTCGAGAATTAGGAATGTTAGTAGGTAGTTGAGATTTTCCTTTTAATACATGTAGTATCATTATTATTCACGGATTTTCTTACACTTAAAACTCTATTACTATCGGTTGTCTCTTTTGTTTCGATTATCTTATTACCATACTATTGTTAATGCTTTTTTTTAATCACTTTTCCTTTATTGTATTTCTTTTACTATGATGTGATATTATTTTTTCTGAGTTGAGCGTCTATCGGAAGTTTCTCTACCTCTACAAGGTAGGAGTAACGTCTGCACATATACTATCTTTCTCATATCCTATTTGTGAGATTATATTGAGTTTATTCTGAGTATTAATGGGCTTTAAATATCACATGGTTAAACTAAGAAAATACACATCACTAGTATTCCTACTATTAATAAATTATTTTTGGTTTGAAAGAAAATGGAAAGGTGAGGTGTAACAATCAAATCCAGCACATGCAAACGAGAGTATATAGTCAGCAATCGTAGGCCGCCCCACACACACACACAAAACAATTCAACTCCTAGCTAGAAGCTGCCAAACAATCAATTGATGATATCATGAATTTCAACAAATTCCTTCTCCTTTCCTAACTTACTTACCTCTTTCCTAAGTCATTTCTCCTTATCATTCTTTCATACTATTAATACCACACCCTTTTTCTCCTCCTCATTTGTTTTTCTGTGAATTCAGATCCATCTTCTAATTTCTCTGGTCTACACTTTCAAGTCTGAACCATGGGTGGTGACAACACTGAGAAGGTAATGCTAGTCTTTTTTATCATATTTGTTTTCTTTTTTCTTAGTCGGTGCTAACTTGTTTGGGACTGAAGAAACGTCTGTAAGCAGGGGGCGGATTTAGGGGCGAATGGGAGTTCACCCAAACTTCCTTACATTGTATATATAACATAAAATCTATTTTTTTACCTCTATATATTATGTTTTGAATGCGCTTGATACAACTCAAAATCATAGTTTAGTGGTCAAGGGGCGTCACTGGTTCAATTTTCATTGGCTACAATTTCTTTTAATTTTTTAAACTTTTTTTTAACCCCTTAGGGAAATCTTGTCTCTGCCACTGTATGTAGGTGGCTTTTTAAGTCCGCCGTCAAATCAGAGGGCTCATAATTGTTGTTGTATTTTTTCTTTTTTTTCTTTCTTATAATACAAAAAAAAGGGATCATTATTACATGTTCAATAGCTCATTAGCATTTGGATCCACTTTTGAAGTCTCTAGCGTTGATTTTCACATTTTCCTTCATGAATAACACTATGAATTTTTTTATTTTGGTTTCTTAACAGACCACCGTAATGGTGCTCAAGGTTGATCTTCAGTGCCCTTGTTGTTACAAGAAGGCCAAGAAAGTTCTCTGCAAAATGCCTCGTGAGTCTCTTTTTTCTTGAATTTCCGTCTTTTTTGGACTTGAGTTTAACTTATATACATCAATTGTGTAAAAAGGATTATTGTCGGCTTACTTTTACTTACGGATAACCTATGTTATTTTCAAGATTATAAATCTCATTTTGTATGAAGTGTTATTACAAATATCTTTTGGTTGATTAATGTAAAAGTTTCTTTTGTTTAATAACCTTTTTAGTGTATTTGATGTTGAAATGATTTAAATTGCAGAAGTTAGAGACCAAGTGTATGATGAGAAGGCCAATACTGTCACCATTACTGTAGTATGTTGCAGTCCTGAAAACATTCGTGACAAATTGTGTTGTAAAGGAGGAAAAGCAATCAAGAGTATTGAGATCAAAGAACCTGGAAAGCCCAAAGCTCCTGAAAAGCCCAAGGACCCCGAGAAACCCAAAGGGCCTGAAAAGCCCAAGGAGCCTGAGAAACCCAAAGGGCCTGAAAAGCCCAAAGACAAGCCCAAGGAGCCTGAGAAAGGTAAGACTGTCACCTTTGAAAAGCCCAAGGAGCCCGAGAAGCCCAAGGACAAAACGAAAGAGCCCGAAAAGCCGAAAGACAAAGCAAAAGATACCGAGAAGCCGAAACAAGAAAAGCCGACCATAATTGACAAGCCCAAACAAAAAGATCCCGAGAAGCCCAAAGACGGTCCTACAACTGCAATGGTAGCAACACCGTGGGTATCAGAGCCGGTGATGATGATGCCGGTCCAGGGATACCCACAGGCGGCACATGGATGCGGTTGCGGCCAATGTTATTATACCGGAGGCCCATGTTATCAGTATTATGGAACACCAGTACCACAGGCCCTGGCCCCGACCCCATATTACGGTAACTACTCATATGGGTATGGGCCTGGACCAGGCCCATCTGGTTACGGAAAGGGCCCTTATGTTAACAGTGAATACTTTAGTGAAGAAAATGCTACAGGTTGCACAATTATGTAATGTGACCCAATCATTGTGGGCCTACTTTGTACTTTCTTTATTGGGCTTTTAAATGTGTCCAAAACAAAGTTTTGGGCCCATGTGAATGTTGTATTATTATTGTATTCATTAATTTCACATACGATGTACAAGGTATAGTTTCCTTTTAAAGAAAAAAAGTGCAGAAAGAGAATAATAAGTAGGTGACCAGATGGCTTGTTGACTGTCTTGTTATGTAGTTAGTATACTATTTGATTAAAGAAAAGTACTTCACTAATCATTGCCCATTTTTTAAATATTACTTTGTGGTATAATATATCTTCTATTATTAATTTCTTTATTTTCCACTTTGTATTTGTGTTGTTTATATTTAGTAATGAACATAACGGCCTTCATTTCAATGGAGAGGAGAACTTATAACTAGTTTTTTCATGGAACTTTTGGAGAGTGAGTTTGGGAATGGAGTTTACTATATCAAGAAAAGATAAAGCTTGAATAAGAAAATTTTAACATTCTTTGCCTCCTTCATCTTTGGCATGCCGACATTGAGTTGACAATATTGTGGGACTTTTGCGTTCTCATTAGGTATAATATACATAAAATGATGCAGGCCTCTGACTTAGGAAAAACTTTGTAATATACAACTCCTATTTGTCAACCTACTAGAGAAGCCTTAACATAGCTCAAGAGCCTCTTTGATGAGTTCTTTATTCCATATAATACTTCACTCTTTCTTGGTCGAGTTTAAGTTAAATAAATCGACAGTTTAAAAAGAATTTATCGAATCAAGTCATTTAAAAAGTAATTACATATTGATAACTTTATAGAATAATATTGATTGGTAACCTACTATTACAAGCTAATGAGTCAAAAAGTTTATTACACTATATATAACTTAAATCCAGTTAAAATATGCATGGTTGCACAATTTTAAATAACTAGAAGTTGCTTTTGCTAGAAAAAAAAAGGGGAAGGTTTTAAAGGTGGCATGCACGTTTCTTTGTCTTAGACATGGTATCAATATTATTATAATAGCACTATAAATAGAGATGGTTTAGGTCATAAATCATAACTGTTCAATGCAATTAATCATGGGGAATTGTATTGATACACTATTTTCTTCATCTCTGAATCAAGAAAATGAAGAGTTAAAAGATTTAGCCAATAACCAAAAGCTGAGATATGATTCACCTAGATTTCTATGTAATGACATGAGTGATAGTTGCAAGAACCAGAGAATCAAGATTGTCCTTGCAAAACAACAGTTAGAGCTGCTTGTAAATAATGTAAAAGAGCTCCAATGTGGACAAATCCCAGTTCAGTCTTTAAGAGTAAGAGATGATTGTCAAAGGTGGAAGCCTTCTTTAGCTACTATTCCAGAGTTATAGAGTCTTTTTTTTCAACCATCTAGTATCCAAAATCTACTAGCCCGACTAATTTAAGGGGAAAGTTCTCGTTACCAGAAATTTTCTATTTCAGGGCTTGAACTCGAGACATCTGGTTAAGGGTGGAATGATCATGTTGATCCCACCACATCCCCGATCAGTGGAGTTATAGAGTTTTTTTTTTCAACCATCTGGCATCCGGAATCTACTAGCTCGACTAATTTAAGGGGAAAGTTCTCTTTATTACCAGGAAGTTTTATTCCACGGATTGAACTCGATACCTCTGGTTAAGGGCGGAAGAATCATGTCGATCCCACCACATCCCTAACTAGTAGAGTTATAGAGTTGTTATAACAAGAAGATGAGCACTCTTTTTTTCCTTTCATTGTAGGTGCAAAGTTGACAACTTCGGTTTCTTGATTTCTCCACATTATTTTGGAAAGGGAGAAGTCTGAAATGGAGATCATTTTTAATATGATGACATAATTGTATAGTTATTGGAGAAAACCTGTGTTGCGTGGACTCTCTAAAAATGCTGCCGCACCCGCATCTGATCCTCCAAAAATACACTATTTTTGGAGGATCCGACACACACCGGAGACATTTTGGAGAGTCCGAGCATCATAGGAGAAAACAAGAAGCACTCTGCTGGAGGAGTTGTGGGTATTAACAAAAAGGATCAAACTTTCAATTATTCTTACTCATCTGAATCTAAAGCTGAAAATAACTGTACAAGGACCTGGGCAATGGGGGAAAATTAAGAAACTAAAACAAAAGAATTACCATCCAGTTGTGACAGAGTTAGTCACTCACTTTACAAATTACAAATGAATTTTGGATCTTTATTCCTGTGATTACTATTCACCTCTTTGTATATACAATAAATGCAAGAGTCAACACTGATGAACCAAGATCACTTTTTCTGCTTTTTTACATTAATCTTCAAGATGTTCTCACTGACCTTGTTGCTTAACTTTTCGTTTTCTTGCTTCGACTTCTATGGCTTTTGACAGCGTCTCGATCTTCTTAGTTAGCATCTGAAAACACCAAACAGATTGATAAATGATAAAAGGAAGAAGATAAAGTGTGTGCAAGGACTTTAAGATGAATAAGAGCAATAGAGTTTTGTTTTATGGTAATACTTCACCTTAATTTCTTCATCTTTAGTATTCAAAGCAGACTCTTTTGTCTCACAAAATTTCCTTAAACAGATAACTTCTTTCTGTAGCCGGTCATACAAAAAACCTGATACTATATCATCGTTATCGCTCTCCATGCTTCGACCAGTCTTGTTTTCTTCTTTGTCATCTCCTGGATTCTTGATTTTCTGTGCATGTGTGATTTCTTTGCTGTTCATTTCTGCATTTTCTTTTCCAACATTGTCAACGTTCTTATCTCGAGAATCCCATAAGGTCTTCTTTTTCAGACTAATGACTTGCTTCATTTTTCCAGAAGCATCATCGCTTCTTTGATCCGTGTTTTCCTGCTTAGTGTTTCGGCTAATGGTGGATACCCTTGGTTGTGATGTAGATCTCTTCTTTATTCCGGTATTGCTTGACAGAACACCAAAAAAGTGTTTGGTCTTTTGAATTTTTGTGGATCCATGGTTTCTATTGGGATTGACAGAGACGTTGAGCGCTTGTTTCAAGCCTTCTTCGAGTGTCTTGAGCCTCAGTTTCAGCTTATCCTATAGCAAAACATTGACAGAATGAGGATAAAACACATCAGTTTATTTTCAATAAATAAGCTCACCTTTAGTTGTGCTTCTGCCTTGGCTGTTCTCTTTGATATGGTTAATTTGTCTTTCAGTCGTTGCATCTCAGCCTACAATGCCAAGGCGAATACTATTTCAAGAAATGTAATAGATGAGTTTGAAATGTTATTCATTTGCAGTTGAATGTTATGCTTTAATAACCTGCAACAGCCTTCTCTCTTCTAGCCATTGTTTTACAGGCATAACTTTGTCATTCTCATCTTTCCACTCGTTTGCCACGACAGTTGCTACTCGGTTTGCTGAAACCTTAACTCTTGCTAGTTCCCTTTCCAATGTCCTCTTCTCCTCCTACAAGATTGGGAAAAGCTAATGTCTTATGATCTATAACAGACTCGACTAGTCTTATTACCAAATATGTATGCATGGTTTTTACTTGAAATTCAGAAATTTGTCGTTTGTAGTCACGAAGTCTATTAGCTGCTGCTCCTCCAGCAAGAATTGCCTCCTCGAGTTCTATAATGGTTTGGCTGAGCTTTTCCACCTCAAGAATCTTTTGACGATTCGTCTTGTCAAGTATTTTGGTTTCCTCCTGAATTGAGAGAAATTCATGTTAGGCCATACACTAATCTGCTTTTACAAAATGGAGTTGGTTGAAATTTCCTACCTGGAAGATTTCAATCTGTCTTCTAAGTTCAAAGTTCTGGTTTTGAATCTCCTCTACTATTAATGCCCTTTCTAAAGCACTTTTTAGTATCATTTCTGCTTCAAGCAAAGCTTCTTCTTTTGACTTAGTGTGTCGATCCAAAGCCCTTTTATCCTCCTGTAATGCTGCAATCTAGAAAAGCGACAGAGAAAAGAAGTTAATGCCACCAAATATTGTAGAAAATGAAGCACCTGGAAATGTGGCGGAGCCAGGAATTTCAGTAAGGAGGTTTAGAATATAAAGAAGTAAATATACAAAGAAGTCCACGGGATTCAACTTTTACTATATATACATAAAACTTAATTTTGGCCAAGTATATATAATGTAATTTTCAGGCGAAGGGGGTTCATCCCTGGCTACGCCCATGCCTGGAATGAATTTATCATTGTAAAGTACCTCATTCTTATACATCTTAATCTCTGCCTCGAGAGGAGCAATAATGGACTCGAGAGGAGGAGAATCGTCATCCTTCTGATCTGCATATACTCTTCTAAGAGTTGCTTCAGCAGCATATTGTGCAGCCAGTGCCTCTTTTTTCTCATTAGCGAGTCGTTTGATATCAAGATTCTGCATTTGCAGTCATAGCCAATTATTTATGTGCCCTTTTTGGTAAAGAAATGGTTGCTTTTGAAACACCTTTACAAGAACGATGAGATGACATACCTTTTGGTCAAGAAGCGTTTCGCTGATTTTCAGCTTTCCCTCCAATCTCTGAAATTCATTTCGGAGCTGTGGAAAATAGGAATTGGATTATCAATACAATATAGTAATAGCTCAAGTATAACAAGAAAATGCAGTTTTTGTGAAGGTCTTCTTTTGAGAGTACCTCTTCAACAGCCTTGTCTTTGAGCACTTCTGTTGCTTTCAGAGCCTTAATTTCACTTTGCGATGCTACCAGTTCGCGATCTTTCTCTAATGAAATTCACATCAAGAATTGAAAATCAATAGCTAAATTTTGTTCTTATACCAGCGCAGTGAAGGAGAGCCTTGGCATAATTGGTAAAGTTGTTGTCATGTGACTAGAAGTTCACGTGTTCGAGCCGTGGAAACAACCTCTTGCAGGGTAAGGCTACGTTCAATAGACCCTTGTGGTCCAGCCCTTCCCCGGACCCCACGTATAGCCAGAACATAGTGCACCGGGCTGCCCTTTATATCAGTGCAGTGTGTTACAGGCATGTACATGTAACTATTGATGCTTCAGGAAAGCCAGTTACCAAAAATAATACACTACAGTCTACAGCCAAAATCAGGACTTTATGGAGTCATTGTAGCCAATAAATATATAATGGTTATAGGGAAACTTTTATGTAGTGGAAATTAGAGGTTTAAGGCTATTCTTATATAACTGTCTAGAAACTGCAGATCATTAAATTATTATTTAGCCTATGTTAAAACAAGCTGGACTGACAAAACCACAACAAACTTAGAAAACAACCCAACTCTTGGATTGTTTTATGTAGTTGTCATTGGTTTACAATCTTGAATGTCTGTGCTCTAACATGAAAATCAAATATTCAATAGCATGAAAACATAAACTTGTTAACTCCACTAGCAACTGTTACTGACCAATCTAACTATGAAAGTAACAATTAAAAACATCCATCACTAAAGCATGAAGAGGAGCCTTGGCGCAACAGTAAAAATTGCCGCTATGTGATCAAGAGGTCATGAGTTCAAGCCGCTGAAACAGCCTCTTAAAAATATGTAAGGTAAGGCTGCATACATAAGAACCAATGAGATTCGACCCATCCCGGGACCCTCGCATAGCGGGATCATGAAGGGGAGTCTTGGCGCAACGGTAAAAGTTGCCGCCATGTGACCAGGAGGTCACGAGTTCAAACCGCGGAAATAGCCTCTTAAACAAATGCAAGGTAAGGCTACATACATAAGACCCAATGAGGTTCGACCCATCCTCGAGCCCTCGCACAACGAGAGCTTTGTGCACCAGACTACCCTTTTTATTCGTCACTGAAGCATAACACTTCTGTTAAAGGCACAATACTGTCATAGCAATAGGAGTACATACACCAGCTAGCATCAAAAGGGTAGCTCGGTGCACTAAGCTCCCGCTATGCGCAAGGTACGGGGAAGAGCCGGACCACAAGGGTCTATTGTACGCAGCTTTACCCTGCATTTCTGCAAGAGACTGTTTCCACGGCTCAAACCCATGACCTCCTGGTCACATGACAGCAACATTAACAGTTACGCCAAGACTCCCCTTCATACACCACCTAGCATCATAATCAAGAAACACAGAAAGTGAAAACTAAAAGTAGTTTTTAACCTTTGAGTTGGTTCTGCAAATTATTGAGTTCCAAGATAACAGGATCAGGATGAGCAAGAAAAAATTCTTCAATCCCAAGTTCATATATTCCTGACATTTCTTTCTTTTTGTTTTCTGTTGCTATAACTTCTAACTATAGTGCAACTATTGAAAACTGAATATACTAAGAAAGAAGGCAAATGACTATGATAATAATTAAGTAGTGAATCATAGACTTTGTAATTGTAGCTATTTAAAGAGTCCATTACTTATAAAGAAATTGAGTGGAATTGAAAGGATGGACTTCCCTTCTTTTGAAGCAAACCTCAGAAAATAACAAATCAAATCCAGCTTAGCTGCTCTTAATTCCCTCTACTTTTTTTGTTTAATAAATATATTTATCTTATTTTAATAAAAGGCTATCCCATATCTCCTTTTATTAAAAACTTTAATGCAATTCCACATCCTTTTTCTAGTTTAACTACTCAACTTTAAAAAAGATAGTAATGATTATATGGAACAAAATCTCTATATGCTTCACTCTTTTTTTATGCTTACTAGTTTGTATGGTTTAGCTGTAACATATTCTTGAAGTTTGTTTTTAGTGGAACAAAATTATAAGGAAATAATTTTAAAAAATGGAGTACAAGAAATATTATTGCAAAAAGTAAGTGAAAATTAAACTAAACAAGACAAATTCTAGGGAATAAAGACTAAGTTGTCCTACACTTATCTGGACTTTGCCTTTTGAAGCTTTCCTTAAGCAGAAAAGGGGTGGTAGGTAATCAAGTTTCATTTCTAAAATAGAGCTCTTTTCTTTTTTCTATTTTGTCCCTATTTCCTTTTAGGAAAATAGATATTTTTGGTTTAACCATCATCTAAGTATACGAAACATATGGTCTGACTATTTCAGATTCTCGCAGCATAGTGTTATTTAAGGGGGCAAGTGCATAAATAGTCATTCTCGGGATGTTATTTAGAAATTAGTCAGTATTTATTTAGTCCTGAAATTTTAAACTAAAAATCTTAACTTCAGGACAATTCAGAACATTTTTATCCTAAAAATTAAACTGAAAAACTGAAAAACTGAAATTTTGAACACACTGACTAATTCCTAAATAACAGTCTTTTAGAGTGGCTACCTGATGTCATTTATATCATTTAAGGGGAAAACGTTTTTTGTCAGAAATTCTTCATTCTCATGACTCGATTCTGAGACGTCTAAGAGCAGAAGGATACTATTCATCCCACCACATCGCTACATAATAAGGGAAATATTGATGTGATATTTTCCAAACATAATCTCCAAATATTGATGGAAAGCACTTCCTACTTGAGAAGTAAATAAATCGCTTGAGCGTTAAACACTCCTTAAAATCATGGAATCATTGATAAAATACAAAGAGAATGAGGTGTTGAAAACAAATAATTGAAAAGGGTTTAAACTGAGTTTGCTTTAAAGTACATAAACAAACTGAGTTGCTTTTAAGTATGAATGATTAGAATATAATTGAAGATAAGAGCAATTGGGCAAAGAAAAAACCATATACTGATACTTCCCTTGTAGATATATTATATAAAGCTTCTCATAGGTGGATGACACTTGGCAAATGGCAATATTCAAGCTGTACATGATCAATGTTTTGGTGAGGCAAAAGAAAACACACCTTTAGAATAAAGAGAGTCTCACTACAATTTTTAAAAACAATTTATAACGGCGGTGTTCGAGCCAGCTTACATGCACTTCGACTAATTTCACGGGATACATGTTACTTCCACTAGCAACATGTATTTGGTAATTCTGTCCACCAAATCTTGAAAAATAGATAGAAATCACCTAGTAATAGTTTTTGCCTCCACTGGAATTTGAACTTGTGTATGTTTACACCAAATTAGAATATTTTACTATAATTAAGTAATAAATAAGGTGACACTACACATTAATTAATCATACTTAGGTGATAAAATTAAAGAGTATTTATGAGATACAAAACTTATTTTCACTGTTTTTTTACACCAAATCAATAGATAAATCACATGTATCAGTATATATATTTCTTTTATATATTCTCATCACATCAAATAATCGGGTGCGAAGAAGTTTTTGCTAAAAATAAAGTTCTGAAAGTGACCTCAAAGGAGTTTCAAGCTAAGTTGTAAAGGTTCTATAATTTCTATTTAATAATATCTTTTGATAATTAGCTTTAAGTAGGTAAATTATGATAAGGATTCGGTTCTAATATTGAATTCCTAACAATTTCATCCTTCTTTTCTATCCCTTTTTTTCTCTTTCTGTTTTTATATTACTTATGTATCACTCCATTAATGGTACCTTAAGTATATTTTTTCTTGCCTAATTAGGACTTCACGCAAATAGTCATGTTAGTATCTCTTCTTCGCTCTACGGTTAAAAACCAATTACTTAAGATTCAAACTATATTTAAGTATGGTCTAAAATTTGCAGTATTTAAGTAAAATAATCTTTTTCTTTATCTACTTAATTTGTTCTGTTTTCTCTCTATCCCCTCCACTGAATTTGTTTTTAAAAAAAACTAGTACTTAATTTGTTTCATTTTAATCTCTATGTTTCAATTTAAATGAGATAGTTTGACTCGGCACGGAATTTAAGAAAAATAAAAGATTTTTGAAACTTGTGGTCTTAAAAACTTAAAGGGTAAAAGCTTTGTGGGGCCATGATATTTGTGTGGTTATAAAAGCTTTTCATTAAAGGTAAAATGAGTAAAATGAAGTGTTTAAAATTAAATTATTTCCAATTATAAAAATATGTCATTCTTTTTTGAACAGACTAATAAGAAAAGTGTGTCATCTAAATTGAAACAGAGGGAGTATGTGATTTCGTTAACTGGGAATAAAGCTAACGAAAGAACGGAAAAGTTTTGAAACGTGCGGTTTAAGACATGACATAACATTTTGTATGACTATAAAAAATTTTCATTAAGAGTAAAATAAAAAATACAAATTAAATTATTTTCAAATTTAAAAATAGATCATTTAAAAAAAAAAAAACTTAAAAGAAAATGATCCCATAAACTGGACTGATAATGAAATAGATCCTATCTATATTGAACTCTAAGAATTTCAAATTTTCAAAATTTTCTAGAAGATAATCATTTTCTGGTTTGCTTATTTACAAGCCACTAATAGCAATGGTATTGGATTATTAATGGTGCTTTAGTTGATAATTAATGTAATTGAATATATGCACTATATCAATGTGTCAAAGGGTCAAATCTTTATCAATGGACTAACACAATTAACATCAAGGGCAGTGTCTTTGTAGTAGGTATTGATGTGTATATATCCTTAAACTATCTCACCAAAAACCTCCAAATTAAGACTTATCTTTTTAGAGCTAGCTATCACTTTCTTTCTACATTATCATAGAATTTTATTTTAATTTCTCCCTATTTTTTCCCTTTATTCTCCACTTTTATTTTTCCCATCCAATAATAAATTTTGGTAGGGAGAAAGAAATTGAATGAGTCAAAACCCCTTTTTAGGCTTTGAAGGCAAAAATCTCATGAAACTTTCTTGTTTTGAGGCTAGATTTCTGTCAAAATACACCATTGTAAGCTTTTATCTTTCGCATCATATATTAATATTATTAACAAATTACCTATTAAGTGATCTGATTGTATCGAATTTCTAGTAGTTGCTTTGGTCTTCAAAATTTCCTTTAAAGCTCAAAGTTATGGCTTTATGCCTTCCTTGAGTCCACACTTTCAATATGCAATATTAAAAGGGACATGATTGTGATTAACATTAGGGTAAGCCGGAAGCAGCCCACCTTAATGTGATTATAGGTTACGGGTTTGAGCCATGGAAACAGCTATTAATGCTTGCATTAGGGTAGGTTGTCTATATCACACCCTTTTTAGGGTGCGGCCTTCACCGGACCATGCATAAACGCGGATGCCTATTTCACCGAGCTGCCTTTTTTTTTTATGATTGTGATCTTAACATTCCTTAAACATATCTCTGAAAGCCTAAGTTGAGAGGTTTCCCCTTCTCATAAATTTTTTAATCTTAGCATATCCCTCAACATAAGGAAATCTAAGGCAATTAGACACACAATCCATTTAGATAAAACTGAATGTAAAGGTATCAAAGATTAGGATTGCTTTTGGAAACAATTTGGAGCCAAAACAAAGTCTTGTCACTTTGAACAAAGAATCTTGGCAAAGACAAAAACCTCTGCTTCTCTCCCTCCTTTTCATTCAGAAAGTCCATTTTGTGTTTGATTGAAACTCTAAATAAACCCCATGGAAATCTTTACCAAGCTTTTTCAGTTCAAGAATCATATTGTCACATTATTTGCTGCATCATTTGTTCTTACTTTCTTCTTTGTTTTGGCACCTAACTTTGCTAACATTCTGTCTTATTTCTGGCCTCTTGTCCTCTCTACAACTCTACTTTTGATCACAATACTTTCCTTCAGCAAAATATCACCATTAGCTGTTGACTTCTCCAATCAAAAAGAGAGTGAAGGACTACTGAATTTTCTTGCAGGGTACCAGCAGCAACTGGAAGACTTCTGATATTCGATTGGCGATTTTAATCTGAAAGTTTGGTTTCTGGTGTCCAGTTTATAGTTGGTGATTGATAATGTGCATTCTTGTCCAGTTTAAAGAACTACTAAGATGATGTTGGAAATGTAACGCTTGTCTCAATCCAGTTCAAATTTAACATGCCTTAACTTATATTCTCCAATAATTTGAAATTGTCACAGGTTATGGAGTATATCTATGATACATTTCCAAATAGCAAGTGCATAGGATTGAAATTGCAAAGCATTCAAATTGATTTTTCATTACTACGCAATTCCATACGTGCAAACAAAGGTATTGTGTACCAGCGACTACGAATAAAGGGCAGCCCGGTGCACTAAGCTCCCGCTATGTGCGGGGTCCAGAGAAGGGCTTGGACCATAAGGGTCTATTGTATGCAGTCTTACCCTGCATTTCTTCAAGAGGCTGTTTCCACGGCTCGAACCCGTGATCTCCTGGTCACATGGCAACAACTTTACCAGTTACGCCAAGGCTCTGGCGAGTACGAATCATAATAAAATAACTGTACTAACTTATTAGTAGCAAGGCGACCTTGTTTTGTTCCCGGTTGAAAAAAAATGTCTTCAGCAATCGGAGAAGCTCTTTGATGAATAGATTTGATCTTGATCAAGCTAAACTATTAGGAGTAGAAAACAGCGGCAGTTAATATATTGTAGCCTTTCAAATAATGATCAATCCATGAGTATACCATGAAGTTACAAAGGTTGTACTTGTGAACCAATCTCTAAAGTGAAATAGCTGCAAGGAAAGAGCAATAAACACCTTGGCTCGCCTACTCGAGTCTTGTATGGATATGAAGGGGTGCTCCTAGGTGTGCATGTGTAGGGGTTGTGTTTATTCAGGACGAAGAAAAAGGGGATGTTTTGTTAATACGAAAAAAAAAGTATTTATAGCCGTAACTGTATAAACAAGAATACTCATTTGAGTCGCAGGAACATGTACGTCCCTTCAAGATAGAGGCTTCAGTCATCGTTAGAATCTTTCTATGATCTATGACAAAAACTTAATCAAATCAGATCTATTAAAGGGGTTGATTATCAACTTTTGGATCGAGACGAGTGTAATAATGCAATATCCTTTTCAGTCAATGTGCCTGAATGATCAACATCAAGCATTTTGAAGCTCTCCATTACTACAGAAATATCTTCCTCAGTTATCTTCCCCAACTCTTTAAGTTTATAGACAATAAATTCTGCAGCACTAAATAAAGAAAATGAAAGTGATTAGGATATAGCCCAAAAAACTTAAACGCCAAACAACAACAACAACAACAACAACAACATACATCCTCAGTCCCAAACGAGTTGGGGTCAGCTATAAATATCTGATAGGGCTAAAAGACCAAGCATAGGAACGTACACGTACTAACATGACTAAAGCATATACTCAACTTATTGCTATCGATTATATAGATCTTTTTATTTCATTATGCTCTATCTTTCGTCAAGTCTTTTGAACACGAAGTAAGAACTTAAATAACAACTTACCTCACTTCACTGTCATGATCAAGATCTGCAGCCTGCAGATCTGAATTTGTCAACTCCCGAGTTAGAACCCATCTGAACATAGATTTTCGCCTTTGTTCTGTGTATAATTCAGCAAGGGAGTAAAATAACTGACCCAAACAAATCGTGCTCAACAGTATCCAAAACGAAGCAAATAAACGCCCCCATTTTGTCGAAAAGCTCTTATCTCCATATCCCAGAGTAGTAATAGTAGCACAAACACAATAAAAAGCATCAAACAAACTCAGATCCTCAACTTGGTTTAAAAAAATTGTTCCAAGTATAGTAAGTGCCACAAGAAGTGCCAATGCACTTAAAAACTTATACTTTTCGATGTTCGTTTCAACCTCTTTTAGGACCTCATTTGAACTGCTATAATTTTTCCTCATTTTTATGGCTTTGAGAAAAAGGATTTGCTGTCTCTCAAGAAAACTATCTGCTGCTTTACTTAGAACAAATCCAACAAGAGCCATGCCCGTGAAGACGAATATACACGCGAGTAGCTTAGCTAAGATACTTTTAGGAACAAGATCACCATATCCGACAGTAGTCATTGTAACAATACACAAGTATATTGCATCAAGAATTCCATTAGTCTTTTTTCCTTCGATTTGATGCCTGATTATGAAGAAGCAAATCGCTCCGATGCCTATATAGGCAGCCAAAAATAAGAGTACAGACCTGAGTCTAAATCTCTCTGTAGCAATGAACTCAGAGGAATGAAACAGTTCCTCATTATTTGTCTGTGGTATATGACTGATATTACAAGTACTGCTGCTCGATTGTGTTCGCCTTCTCTTAAAAGAGTTTATATCATTAAATCGAATCGAAGAATTTACATGGCCTCGTAGTAGAGGTTGTTCAACATCACCTTTATCCATGACAGCCAGAGGCGGACCCATGATTTTAACGCGACGGGGCACAATGTTTGGTTCAATCAGTGCTACCTAAAGACTTTTAGAGGGTGCCAAGTAATTCAAATTAACCATTTTCAAGGTATAACATATATATACAAGATTTCTACCGAAGTTTACGAGGTCCGGTGACCCCTCAATATAGCACGTAGGTCCGCCTCTAATGACAGCAAAAGGACATGCTTCCAAATCAAACTGCAATCAGGATAATGTACATTAATAATCAACTAACATTTCTAGCAAAATATGAGGCAAACAACAACAACGTTAGTGTAATCTCATATAGTGGGGTCTGGGGAGGGTTGTGTATACACAGACCTTACCCCTACCGCGTGGAGGTAGAGAGATTGTTTCCAATAGACCCTCGGCATTTCTAGCAGAATACGAGGCAAAAACATAAATTCATACATTTGAAACTCAGAGGCATAAATATAATCGTTCTTTTGTGTGACTAACTTTGATATCAATCTCAACTATTAAACTTAATACCTAAGTATTTCAAGATCGTGTACTGTTCATAACACCCATTATTGATCCATGTTAAGTTTCAGTCCTTGCAATATGGGCTTCATTCACAAAAGTTAATAAATGGTTCCATACACATACAACTCTTTTTTATAACAAAGAAATACCGAGGGCCAGCGGCATACGGTTGGGCCCAACTCTCTGCCCTATCTACTTAAATATCAGGTTTTTGTCTGTAACAAGGTTAAAACCCAGAATGTGCGCTTAATAACCCACATATCGCGTCGAGGGCTTAAACATACATTGTCTTCAAATTCGCAAACCACGAATTTTCTTTTTTGTTTTTTACCTACCTTAGAACATCTGAGGGGAACCTTGGCGTAACTGGTAAAGTTGCTGTTATTTAATCCGGAGGTCACGGGTTCAAGCCGTGGAAACAGCCTCTTGCAAAAATGTAGGGTATGATTGCGTATAATAGACCCTTGTAGTGGCCAGACCACGCGCATAGCGAGAAGCGGGAGTTTAGTACACCAGGATGCTTTTTTAACCTTAGAACATCTGAAGATCTATATTGATGAAGGCTAATACAAACTTGCTCTAATGATATCATATTCATTAATGAGAGATTTTCAAGCCCATAAAAGTCAAAAAATTGAACAATAGAGAAGGCAAAATTTAATTTCAGAACAGAGAAATGGAATGTGTAAGGAATCCAACAAATTTGAGTATTTTTAAATCTAACTTCAAAACAAGAAACAAAGAAATCCACATAAAATTGCAAAAGAATATGCCTTTTTATGTTAAGAGTTGCACCCACAAACCTATAAATCTACATACATCACCGCACCCCATTAACCTCGGTAAAAGTTTTAGATATATATATGTGGATGTATGTTGAAAACACGTATATATTTTGCGTGAAATTCTTAAAATCAAAAGTCCGATGGGACACCGATTGAGCAGTCCGCCCATGTGCCCCACCATCTTCAAATTTCGGGGTCTGCCTGTGCATACATCATCCCCTAGATTCTTATGATAATTAAATCAAATAAAAGATGGAGAAGGGTCATATTACCTTAGGTTAAGACTATCATATTCATCAAATTTACCCTTTTCAAATCCATGCATGCATTGTATTGTTCTGTTGGATGAACAGAAAGCAAGAAATCAAAGTCTGCAAATTTTCACAAGGAAAAAACAAAAGGTTCTTTTTAGTTATGGCTACAAAATTTGGATCAAAATAACCTGTAACAGAATCCAGTAGTTAAATTAAAGGCACCATAGACAAACAGAATCACGGGAAACAATATGCATGTCTTGAATCTTACACCTACTATTTATGGGACGCTTGCAATTGATTCTAATTTCTCAACAATATATGGTTACTCTTTTTTCACCAATATGTGGTTTACCTTCCCATATTTATTTTTTAACTAGACATACGCGCGTTGCGCGTGTACCCCACCTCAATTAATATAAAATTATTATGTTGAAACTTTATTTGAATTACAGAATAAAATTTAAGAAAAAAGTATAATTAAGTTCATGAAATGAAGATTATTGATTTTACGGAAAAGGGTCAAATTGTCTTCGAACTATCGGAAATAGCTCAAATATTTCCTCCGTTTGTTTTTGGTACCAAATTTGTCCTCGCCGTCTAAAAATTGGACCATTATTGCCTTAACAACTAATAGCTGCCACATAAGCTTTTGGACATATTTAAATATTACGAAAAAGGGTCAAAATTGCCCTCGAACTATCGAAAATAGCTCAATTATATCCTTCGTTTGTGTTTGGTACCAAATATGTCCTTGACGTCTAAAAATTGGACCATTACTGCCCTAAAAACTAACGGCCGTCACATGAGCTCATGTGAACAACAAAAGTCTATTTCCAACAGACGGTCCTCCATCTTGACAAAAGCTCCCATGGAAAAAATTTCTTTCTCCATTTTCATTCGTTGACTTATCTAAGTGTTGCTCCTTCCAAATAATTAAAGTTACGCCAATCTTATTATGAGAAATTTAATTGGGCTATTCTTAAGATTCATAAATCTGTAAAAAATTTCAATATACTATACAAGAAATAAAATACTAACTTTTATCATTTAAAATCAGAAATCTTATCAAGAAAAAATAGTGGAGAACAACAAAAACTACATATTGTAGTACTCCCATGGCTAGCTATCCAAGCTCATAGCTCAAAAAGGTCACAAATTAGTTGCAAAGATATATCCTTTTAAAAATAACTCTCATAAAAAAACTCGAAAACCATTAGAATGAGACCATCCTCTAAAATACTATACCCTTCTACTTCCAGCCTTCATCAACAGAAAAGAAAAGAAGACAGACCGCAAATAAGATCTAGACCCAAAACCTCATAAAAAGATACACTTTTTAGTCAACCGCCTAATCCTTCCCCTCCTCACTGGCCTAGCTAGCAGGCCACCTGAAGTGCTTCATTGCGGGAAATGCAGCAAACCCTCGCAGAAAATGGGTTCTTGCGGGCGGAGAAGGTTTTTTTTTTTTTGTCATATTGTACTGGCATGTCAACATGATTATAATATTTAAATAGGTCCAAAAGCTGATGTGGCAGCCGTTAGATTTTAGGGCAATTACATATTTGGTACCAAACACAAACAAAGGATATAATTGAGCTATTTTCGATAGTTCGGGGGGCAATTTTAATCTTTTTTCCGTAATATTTAAGTATGTCCAAAAGTTGATGTGACAGCCGTTAGTTTTTAGGGCAATAATGGTCCAAGTTTTAGACGGTGAAAATAAATTTGGTACCAAAAACAAACGAATGGTATATTTGAGCTATTTTCAATTGTTAGAGGACAATTTTGACCCTTTTCCGTTGATTTTATTTAGCTATTCAATAAAAGAAGAAACTCCATTCTATAAAAGTAGATTAGTCAACATTTCCGTCAATGTGTAGCTTAAATCTGATCCCAACTTAAATGAAAATCAATTACAGATACACACAAAAACTAAGACACTATATCTGTTTGAGTTGGTTGAAAGAATGAATTCTAATTTTAATTTAACATGAATTCCATAATTTTACTTCTTCTATTATAATATTAACAGTCTTTTCAGAATTCATCTATTGCATGTATCTTACACTTTTTTTTCTTTTAATTTTAAATATAATATTTATGTGATTTTTTAGAAAATTCAACTCATTAAGTCGGGTACACAATTTTGATTTTATAATATATTATATTGGTCGAAAAAAATACTTATTTGTTATTGAAGAGTTATTTTAAATATTTTATAATTTAAATTTCAATACAATATCTGATTATTAAAATTTAGATTCCAATCGAAAAATTTCAGCAGATTTTTCGTCTAATTCAATTATTTGCAGTGACTACTAAAAACATGCATCCCTATTCGAGATGCAGTGGACTTAAATTACGTAGGGCATGAGTAAATCTAACCCAAATCTCTTCGTACTCTTTAAATTTTTTCTCAGTTTGAGCACCTAATTTTTGACCGTACTTGAATATTTTTCGCTTTCCAGGCGTGTTCCCACTCAATTTTTCTTTGTCCCCATGCTTTGTCTCCCCCATATTTTGCTCCCTACTCCACTCTCCATTGTTCGCCACTCCTTGTCCCCCATGCTTGTCTCCCCCCCCACACTTTGCTCCCTACTCTCTCCATTGTTCCCCACTCCTTGTCCCCCATGCTTGTCTCCCCCCCCACACTTTGCTCCCTACTCTCTCCATTGTTCCCCACTCCTTGTCCCCCATGCTTGTCTCCCCCCCCACACTTTGCTCCCTACTCTCTCCATTGTTCCCCACTCCTTGTCCCCCATGCTTGTCTCCCCCCCCACACTTTGCTCCCTACTCTCTCCATTGTTCCCCACTCCTTGTCCCCCATGCTTGTCTCCTATCACAAACCTCATACCCCATTTTCAACTATAAAACACACACATAACACACAAAAAAAGAGGATGAATCCAGCCCCAAAACTCCCTCAAAACAGCTCAAAAACGAGCTGAAAACAGCCCAAAAAATGAGCTGAAAACCAGTCCACACACAGCTGCCGATAACACCCCAAAACAGTCACTTTTCTCCAGTTCAACACCCCTAAAAACGAGCTGGAAATCCAGTTCCAAAGACGACCTCAAATGCTCCAAAAAAGAAGCTGGATATCTGCCCGAAAACGCAGCCATGAACCTCCGTTAAACACCATCCAAATCAGCCCCGAAACAGCCCCCAAGCACAAGCTAAAAACTGCTGAAATCAGCTGAAAAACACAACAAATAAAATTGCATAACACCACCCAAAATCCAGCGTTAGAGAGCAGCAAAATCAGCTGCGAATCTGCTGAAAAATCTGACCAAAAGTAGTGAAACAAGCTGCGAAATAGCTCGAAATCTAGCCACAAACCTCTATTGAAACGACCCTTTTACACCCGAAACGGTTGTCCAAATATAGTCGAGTTGGTATAGTCTTTTCCTGGATCCTGATTCGTGGTCGTAGTCGGGTTCATGGTCAATTGGCTCTGTTCCGTTCGAGGTCCGAGCTTTGTTTCGCTATTGTGTTTCGAAAGCAACAAGGCCACACTCTTGTATTGAAGGTCGGTTTTTCTAATTTTNCACCCGAAACGGTTGTCCAAATATAGTTGAGTTGGTATAGTCTTTTCCTGAATCCTGATTCGTGGTCGTAGTCGGGTTCATGGTCAATTGGCTCTGTTCCGTTCGAGGTCCGAGCTTTGTTTCGCTATTGTGTTTCGAAAGCAACAAGGCCACACTCTTGTATTGAAGGTCGATTTTTTTTTAATTTTTACTTTGTTACAGTATTTTGAATCTTGTTGTTCACTGCTGAATCTGTTAATCACTACTTCTCTGGCCTTTGTTTGGTATTCCTAAGCTGTTTTTTGCACAATCAGGTATTGGATCATGAATTCAAGCCTTTGATTTGTAAAATGTTGAGTTCATATGCTTGATAATAAAGTTCTATATCTCTATTGCTATATGCATTTAGTTTCATTTATGATTTCATTTTGTTTAGTTTTAATCTGACCATGCTGCAGTAGTACAACATTGTTTATGACAAATAAAATAAAAAGGATGGATTCTGGATTAATGTACTATGTGTGCACTTAAATCTATAATGGCATGAACAATATATGATTTTAGTTAGTGCTAGACTCTTGTCACATTGATGTATTGTCCTAAGCCAGTTTTGGGTTTCAATAACGATGCACCTGCAGTTTATGAATTTGGACTCAAATCATCCACACATTAATTCCACAAGTTATGGGACCTCTAATCTCAAATAAGTTTTAGAAAAATTAGTTAAACTCTTGAATATGCGTAGCTTGCTTTAAGCGCGATTAATAAATTATCGTGGCCATGGGTACTGTTCCCGTTGTATAGTCACGATACGTAATCTCCAAGTCGAGTGTGCGTTTCACGTGATTCGACCATCACTTCAAATAATAATAAAAATTAACATGTTGTAAATCGCGGGTGTGTTTCACGTGACGCGATTCGCAACGTGTACAAAAAATAATGAGTGTGCGACATCGCGACTTGTTCAAACAAATTTCATAAACACTAAAAGCGGTTAATTAATTAAAAGCGATAAACGATTAAATGCACTATAGGTTTTTAAACATGTTAATAAATTATATAATTAAGCCAAGTTTAAGTCAATAAGGCGACCATGCTAGAACCACCGGACTCGGAGAATGCCTTACACCTTCTCCCCGGTCAACAGAATTCCTTACCCGGACTTTGTTTTCGCAGACTAGTAATAATAGAGTCAAACCTTCCTTTGACTAGGGATTCAAATAAAAGGTGACTTGGAACACCCGAAAATCAATTCCAAGTGGCGACTCTGAACAATAAGATAATCCCTATTTCAAATTGTCACTTTAATTGGAAAAACTTTTTAACCCACAACAATCCAATAACGCACATATTTATCATTTTGTGGGGTGAAAAAGGGGTGTGACAGCTCTGGCGACTCTGCTGGGGACTTCGAGAATTCTAGCTTGTACATTGACTTTATTTGGCTTTATTAATTTTTGTATATATTGTGATTTATTTGGGACTAATGTGCTACTTGTCCACTTTTTACTGTTTTGATATTGTTGAACTGTACATATAAATTGTATCCTCTCTCGCATCCCACTGAGTTTTCTGATAATTAGTTATGTTGTGTTTGCCTACCAGCATCACAAAATTTCTATCTTGAGATAAAGCCAGTTAGCCTACCAGTTTCTGGTGAAGGATTTAGTCACACATGTTTAGGCGGGAGAGCCGTTAGCTAGCCAGTGTTGTTCTACTACTGTTAATGCTTGACGCTCCTCTGCTCGGGTTGTCCGTCCGGATAA